CCCCCCCCCACCTCACTATACTGTAGATAGTTGGCCGATAAGAGTGGCGAATTTCGTTCACTAAATGTGTGCGCCAACAAGTGTTGAGCTCTGAAACTTCTTATTCACCAGACGTGCACAAGTGACCACTGCGTCATCAGCACAAAATGAATGAGAATAGAGTTTGCATCTCATTTTCCCATCAGGTATTCAATATATATATATATATATATCAGTCTCCATGTGTTCATCTTGTTTGATTTACTCTTCAGCAGTCATAGGTGTCTATTGGTCTGCAAAGAATCAACTGAAGTGATTCTTTCCTCTTTGCAGGGCCATGCGACCAGTTGATCCTGAAATTTTATCTCAAATAAAAAACAATCGCGGAGTTGCCCCAAAGCCGTCTGACATGGGTCCCGTCTGGTGCCCATATGACCTCTCCACTGGAACTGGAGGGGATTTTGAATTCTCAACCCATCGAAGAGCCAAAAAGCCTCTAAGCAATCTCCAAAAGATGTGTCAGGGTGTTGAGTAGTAGCAGAATGACTAGAACTACCTCCTCCTCCTCCTATTTTATTGTTTTCATTCCCCCCTCCCCGCCCCTCCTTCGGTCAAATTTTATACCTTGACAATCATTTTTGCACTTTTTAGTTCAAACAATGAAATTATGCAGAACCAAAAAGAAATTTTCACTCAAAATTATATTCAAAACAGGAGTTTGCAATATAGGACAGAACGTCTTAGAGTAAATAGGTAAATAAATATCACAGGACGAGCGATTACGAAGACAAAACCCAAGCAAATTTTCCAATACCTTGATTACTCGTTTTCCTCAGATTCGTACTTCATAATTTCCAGAAACAGTCAAGTATTTAACGCCCTTGTATGGGTTATAATTCTAAAAGAAACCGTATTGGCCATTAGAGTCGAAATTTGGTTTCGAGCAATCAATAATGTGCAAAATATGATAGGATAACGAACCTCTTTGTGCATTTCAAGCCTCGACACACGTAGACCAGAAACAAGGGTTTGTGGAAACTCAAAATGAAGATTAACTACTGGCGTAGAGGATACCTGAGCAGTACCATTATGAAGAGTAACCTAAAATGTGACAAATGAACAAACCTTAACAAGTTTTAAATGTATCGGAGCTAAGAATTTGTATCTGGAAACCTCTGACGCTAAGGTTGTGTCCCCCTCCCCCCCCCCCCCTTCCTCTTTACCAGCAACTAAGTAGGATTTCAGCAGGTCATTCGCATTTAACCGCGATGGCATATCTGCTGACCGAAAGACCTGTAGAAACCAGCCACCGATTGATTATGCTGTAAAAAAACTCCCAAGTTTGTTGAAGTAAGTGTTCACAACATGAATTAAGCGGAGAGATCACATTTCATAATTGCTTTGAGAAGAAACTCGCGCTCTAACTTTTCTCTCGCTGACCATAATCAGTGCGGTTAGCCATCCACATCACTGAGTGAATATCGATCTATTGACCTAGGACTTTTAAGCAGTGCATACATGCACCACCGATGATTGATATGACTCTTTCCATTACCCATAATGCAGTTAACATCGTCATCGAAACTAAATCATTAAATAAATAAGCCAATGGAAAACAGAAATTATAGAACTTACAGTGCCCTTGAGAGAGGGGTACGTGCGGGGTTCTAGATGGCCAATATCCCACGTGAGGGTCTTGGTAACGGTGTCGAAGACTGCTCTGCCCAGTGAAGGGGTGGCATTTACACCGCTTACTTCAGGTGGTAATAGCACCGTTACTCTCACCTTCTCAAGCTGTGATGGATGAAAATAGGAAATATTAGCAGGATGCTCCCGGGGTGAAAATTGAATTATGAATATTTATTGAATATTATTTAACGTCCTCTCCCTATTATTATCGAATCTTTCATTGTATTTATCCCATGATGCAGATAGTAAGAGTTGAACTGCAATAAGTTTCCCTGGAACAACGAGAACTTGAAAATCATAGAGCCTTCACAACTAGGCGAGGGAAACGCAAGTAATAAAGTGGGCAATATCTGTGCTCAATGAGCCTAAGGGCCAAAAGCATTCTTACTCATTATTAGAACGAAACTGTGCGTGCCATGGAGTGAATAGCCATGTACGGGAAGTTCTAACTAGTAAATATGTCCTACCAACTCATAAATAACAAAAATCATATGTACTAAGAGAGCACGGCAAACCTCGTGAGTCAATGCTGTCCAGGAGATAAGAACAATTGTAAGGGACACGGGAGTGCATGAATTAAGGGAAATTTTTTTACCAAACGGTAGGCGTTTTGATAGTTATCATTATCACTTTAGTTGACTTCAGGCTTCACAGAGGGAGGAAACAGAATAGTGTTTCAAAGATGTAAGAGGCAGACACAAAGGTAGAACAAAGGTGAGGTGAGTACTGTGAAAGTAGTCGAATATGGCACCGTGGGTCATGATGGTTTGAAGTCAGAAGTCAACTGCCGAATAATAAACTTTTTTGCCGCATGAGTATACGTTGCCCAAGGTGCACCACATGGAGATAAGTCTATCGCACACCCCAAATTAAGGGAAATCATACCAGGGTAATTAAGGCTCTTTATAACGCTAATTTTAGCATTCCTTATTCTATAGCCTCTCTCTACCTCATCTAAATTATTCAACAATTCCTCATTCTTGTATACTTTTCCACGACTAACAGGTTCGAGAACATTTACTTTGCTGTGGTTTATAAGAAAACACAGCACAACCCACTACTACTACCACTACTGTACCTGATACGCGATGTTGTTACGAATGCAAACTCAATGCTATAGCAGAGCAGCCATGAACCGATAATCTTTAAATATGTGGGGTGTGCGATAGACTTACCTCCACGTGGTGCACTCTGGGCAACGTATACTCATACGGCAAAATCTGTAAACCGACAGTTGACTTCCTTCTTCAAACTACCATGACCCCGCTGTATGTCATATTCGACCCCTTCACGGTACTCATCTAGCCTTTTCTCCGCCTTTTGTGCCTGTTACATCTGTGAATCGCTCTTCTTTCCCCCTGTCGAATTTTTCTTACTTCAATGTTCCTCCCTTCTGTGAAGCCCGAAGTCAACTAAAGGGCTAATGATAACTGTCAAAATGCCTGCCATTTGAAATAAATAAATCTTTAAATATGCTAGCAAATACAGCACACAATGCAAATGCTTTCATTAGTATCTCAAAGCCCCTAACCGATTGAAATAGGAAATGGTAATTAATAAAACGACTAATGCTAATGCTTCTCCAGTATTTAAAGTGGAATAAGACTAATCGGTCGCTAAATAAGTTAGAAAATGATTTTAGAATGGCTTAGACCCGTAGAGGAAATACGAGAGGCGCTGATAAAGTAAGTATGAACAGCTAACCCAGACCAGATAGAAGATAAATACTAGTTGGCCAGATTAAGAACCGCAAAGAAAGACCAACTCACCACTTTACCAGCAGTTGATTTTGGAGAGACAGAAAGTTCAAATCGACTTCCTGATTCCTTTAGGGATATATTGTGCCTCAGTGCGATGGGGAGAGATATTGAACTATAAAGAAGAAGAAAAAGGCTTATTTGAAGAAGCCGAACAACGGAAAGTTAGACTAATTTCTTTTCGCCATTCTATCAGTCTGATTGATTTTTGGGAGCTTCAAATGGTATCCAAAATTTCTTCACGAGTAGACAGAAAGACATTAACTAAAAACTGAATATATTATGGAGTTACGAATCTCTGAAGACTCTCGAGTACGCAACCATCGTGTGAAAACAGCTAGACACGCCGTGAATTGCTCTAACGACGAATTGTAATCAAATTACCCCACATTCAGCCTTTTGACCATTCTCCTTAGTATTGCGTTAGCTTATAACTTTAAATTAAAGAGAAAGTTATTCTTTTTCCTATCTTTTGTTCGAAATTGATATTTCCACCCCATATAATACACTTCAACTCTTTCGATCATGTGCGATGTAAATTATTTGAAGGTAAGCTAATCAACACCTATACACTTAGTATTGAAGAAAGTAACGAATTGGGATGGCATCAATCACCTTATTGCCCTCTCCCCCACCCCCTCTTTCTCTCTATTAATATCAATGACTCGAGCTAAGAATTCCGTAGAGACCTTTGGTAATACGCCACTTATTAGAAAAGCATTAGAATAAGCATGATATTGGGAATCAATCAAAATAGGGTGCTTAAATTGTATCCAAAACATCTTCTTACTTAATATTTGGAATGTAATAGCTAAAAAGTCGGAATTTTCCATCAGGCGGAATGAAGGAGATGACGCGCTGTTTCTCCCACCGGAAGTAACGAACACAGGGATGCAAACTCACGTCGTCCAACAGTCGAGGGTTGTTGAAACTCAACGACAAATCTGGCATTCCCGAAAGATAAACTAGACAATCGATCTTGCACAAGAAAAAATAAGAATTGTGAGCAATCGGGACAAATTTAGGTGAATTCTGTGGTTTGAAAATTACAAAAAAAGAATACAAATTTTTGTATTTTAAAGGTGGCAACAGAATAAAAGCCATTCGAAATAACAATAAGATATCAGGTATTCAGAATAGATCGAACATGAAGACTACTATGGTAAGATAGTATAATAATTGGGAAAACCGATAATGGAATTTTGAAGAGATTAATCACGAGGTTTCCTGAACACCAATGCAATTACAAATAAAGGAACAGATATTTTCCTATTGGAGAATATTAAGTTGATATGTGCTACGATCAACCCGGGAAACTAAAAGCCCTGAAATAAAATTGACTCATTTTCTAGCTATTTATAAGTAAAATATAATTAGACAAATAACAAAACAATAATTAATTATTCCCAAACAAAATACTAATCCTACCATATCTTTTATTATAAAGAGAGAGAGAAAATAAAGATTGCTGACTTACAGCTCCTTCAATTTCAGCTAAAAGGATATTTCCAGATCGGTCAATAATGACATTCACACGCTCTGTCATATCAAAAAAGGCCTCGTTTGTAGTGTATTTGACACCAGCACGCCTCCAGCGTATGTTTGACAATTGATTGGCAGGCAGAATTTCATTGACACTACCTAGAGTGCGACCTGTTACAACCTCTGTAATTGATCGAAGAAGTCTTGGGGGTTTAATGATCTCCTTGAGAATATTTAATTCTGTTGTTAGTGGAAAGCCGTTATCTAGCATTTCATCTAGTAGCTATAAAATATAAATGTATAATAAAAAAAGATCGAATCTACCTCAAATGCGCAAACGATGTTATCAGTAATAGCTGATTCTGTCATGGTTCCGAAATAGTCCTCATAGATAGATATTAAGCTATTTAGGAACTCAATAATGAGCAAAGGAGGAACTGAGAAGGTAGCGTAATTGAACTGAATGACAAACCTTCTTCAGTACAAGTGGCGATAAAGAATATACCATTCTTCTCGACAATAATCAAAATTACATTGTTTGATGATGCGACAACAGGAGGAACTTTCAAAGAATTCGACAGCTAAATAAAAATGAACAAATTAATGGTATTTGCCCGGAAAATACTATTTTATATAAAGCACAAAACGAAAATATGATCGGTAATGCAACACAAAGAATTACTTTTGATTGTCCCTCACAAATGGAATCTAAAACCGACCGAGGGGTGATAGATTTCCAGTGTTTTTCAAGAAGAACTTCCCGATCTTTATTGATTACAAAAATACTTCTAATCATACTGTCAATAGTGTTTTAAAATACCCACTAGAATAAAAGCAGATTGGCCAGCCAATTAATATGCAAGACCAATGCTGTTTGTAACGTTTCTTTAAGGAAAACTATATATTGGTTATCTTAGTGCATTTGACAGAAATAAAACTTAAAAGCGAGCAATATAAGCAGTAATAATTTTAATATACATATAAAGTTATTTTCCGAGCGTTATTAGACCACTCTGGATTCGTGATATAACTGTATTTCATTGTTATTATTCATTTCATAATTACCAGGGCATATAATATGAAGTAATATCCTTTTGGTTGAAAATCTTGACTTAGATAAGATAACCAAACCTTTAAATATTAAGTATAAAGCATAATGTTCTTGGATCAGTATATTTTTATAGAAAATTAAATAAATCCATTGAGGCCTTTTATTCTGATGAGTTAAAATATGATTAAAACCAAGTTTTAAATTGTTATGTATTTACTGCTTAAAGATTTGATTTTCTTTATAGCTAAATTTGTTGATTTGATTAAGACTATTTTCAACCTATTTTCTATTTTTCCGTTACTGATGCAGTCGCAATATTTTACCACAATACCATGCTTGTCGAGATCATTTTTAAAGTATTCTTTCTTGCTGATTCGCCAGTGTAGACTGTTAAAAAGCAAAATAGTTCATTGTTCAAAAAAATTTTACATTTTTTGATATACTTTGTCTTTAAGCTGAAGCAACAATGGCATTTTTATCCAAACCATCATTATAGATTTTAAATTCGCAAATGCATGAAATTTGTTCCCTAAAGTAGACGATAACCTATCAATGAATTTTATGAAATAACTTTTCTCTACATTAATCGTTTGAGTGCAAAACATTACCATTCATTCACTGTCTGCTTGGAAAAATTATTTTGAAAAAGAACCTTCTAAATCAAAGACGTCTGTTACCAACCTGTTAGCACGGCAAACATACTTCAAGATAGCATATAGGCAAGCAAAGCATTGCTATCGATACTGACAACTCATGGCATAGCAAATAATTTTTGTGCTTATTATTATTATCATGGACATCTACTGTAGGCTCTTTATTATAAGTAGATCAGCCAAGGTCTCAACTTTCTCAGTCCACACCCAATACAAGGAAATTATTGCCCACTCTTCCCCTTCACCATGAATTCATGATACCTGGCTACTCAATTAGAAATTACTCAGTGACCGTTCAAACCACAGAATTTCTCAGGGCAAATCCGTTTCTTCGTTATATTCACTTCACATTCATGTCTTGATAGCAATGTCAGTGGTATTCATTCTTTCGACCTTTTGTGATCTCAGTCATTCATTTGTAGAAAATTGTAATTATGACTTCGATCGTGATAGGTTTTAGTGTGGCGTAAACCATGGAATACGCCACCACAAGTTAGTTTATGTCATCTGTTTGAGTTATGCTTGGAAAAGCTTGCAATGCACATTTCCATCATCTAAACGAACACGTTGAAGCACATGAGCCAATATTTTGACGAGTTTCCAACTTGTGGGGTCCATTCGAAGAAAGTGCGTCTCCCAAAACCTCCTTTATTCCTATATCTTCTTTAGCAACTCATTCATTGCCCTCGTCCTTGCTACATTCTTGGAAAGAATTTAAAAATGGGAGCGAGAACCGATTTCTTACTGATGATATGGTCATTTTTACCAGGCAATATTTCGCAAAATTTGACTTCATTTATCTGATTGAATTATCCTTATTGATGGAATCGCAGTTAGGCCCAAGTGACTGCGCCTGTTATTTCTTAACGTGAACTCGAGCAGGCGAATGTGACATTGATCGACTTGGGGACTGAAGGACAGTCCGTCTAACCTAACATAGAGTAATTGAGATGATCCTGAAGCCGAATATGTGAATATGTCATCCAGCGTTGCATCAAAATCAAATGTGTAATAATTTCAAATGTTTAATAAGCATATTTTAAACTACTTACAAATTATTAGTAAAACTGCACATTTAACAACATTTATCTTAAATATGTTTGTCTTTATTTCAAAGTTCATATTCTTACTTACCATGTCAGTTAAATAACAGTAAATTCTTTTTTTGAACTCATCATCACCTTTGTATATTCAGTGAATGGAAAACTAATCAAATTGTATTTTGGTTAGGAGCCTCTTAGTCTTTATTTACTTGCTCTCATGATTGGTTGACGTGTGATCATTTTTCAAGTTTAATACTCACGATTTTTCAAAAGTCTTACATGACTCTCATACTTTTTTTGGGGATAAAAAGTAGCATCATTAGGTCTAAGCTAATCAGAACCAGTATGAATAAAAAGGGATGTGAAGAGGGAGAACTTCAGATGCGGCTGGTAGACGAGTATATCCTGGATGTGGTCGGTGGTTTGTCTGCTGAGTTATCTGTAGGCTGGCCTTACTTGAATTGACAAATATACGAAGATATTGAGGTACTTTTGGCTCAAGCGAAATCTGAAATCTTCCAGTCGTTTTGATAGGTATAGCATTACGAATTAGAGAGCAATAAATCTTTGTTTTAACGCAGACAATTGACAACCAGGTGTAGATAGGCATAGAGGTATTTTCGTTTTATCTCCCAACACAAACTTAGAAGCTACCTAATGTCAGGTATTGGTAACTCACAAAAATCTAAATTTTCATTTAAGTGCAAAATAAAATGAAATATGCGTACTTCTGTTTACTGATAAATTAATTTTAGTCCATGTGTTCTAGCGTATTTTTAGAAACTTCTAGAAATCATCTTAAGAAATCCCAGCAATTGACTAAGTTATTAAAAATTAGATCCGTTCCACTTGTTTTGAAAAGTCGATCTATTCGTTTTGTTATTTTTTTCATTCTACTCCTACCGGTATCAGCGATTCGGTTTAAGGATATCAAACATTTATTTATAGCAAAAGGCAGGCATTATGATGGCTATCATAAATTCAGTGTGGGAAACGCAGAATGCACTCATACAATAGGCCACGGTTAATGAGCTGCAGCAGTTACAGCACTCATGCAGCACCTCAACGGGAGTGAATGCTGTGTGCGATAGACTTACCTCCACGTGGTGCACCCTGGGCAACGTATACTCATATGGCAAAAAAGTCTATTAACCGGCAGTTGACTTCTGAGTTCAAGCTATCATGACCCCACTGTATGTCATATTCCACCACTTTCACAGTACTCATCTTACCTTTTCTCTACCTTTGTGTCTGTCTAACTCTTTCACAGAGGAGAAGAACAGACAGAATCACAAAATGTGGAGGGGGGGGGGGCAGAACAGTGATTCACAGGTGTAAAAGACAAAAAAGGTGAAGATGAAGGTAATGAAAGAGACTACCTCTTTAGTTTAGTCTTATTAAGTTTAATGGAAATGGTCATACCCAGAAGAAGTAGCTAATGTGTACCAGAGTACGATAGACGGCAATAAAGTACACCTAGCTAATCTGTGACTCTAACTGACGAAAGCATGATAGTGATTCAATCCAGTGTTCAAGACGCCGACAATTTTCACAAATCGATTAACCAGTGTGCCCCAAGCAGTGCATTTAGGAATTGTTCCTACTATAAACAATTAATGCAATGACTGATCAGTGGCTGTCGGATCAGGAGAGATTGCTCGTGGTCTATCATAGTCACTGGGGCTCGGGGGAAGGGCGGGGGGGGGGGGGGGGGAGGAGCAGATCTCAATAAATGCGACAGAATCGCGCAAAAACCAGACGTCAAATTTACTTCATTTCTTTTTTTTATCCTTTTTAGGAAAATTTTGCATTGTATTTTCGAAATAAACTTTTCCATTGCTGTTGTTTATTACTAATTTGGCAGGCAGGACCCATGCAACCTTGAATGATGCATTTCCTTTTTTCCCATTGGTCAAGCTGAAATAGGACCCGTAGCTCTGTTGTGATTTTGTGATTGCCAATTTACACGTCCGTCTCTGCAACAACATAGGCTATCTCTTTTCAATACATCCTTATGTTTGTGATTGGTCACATTGCTTAGAACATAAATTCACTGTGTGAATAAAGTTGAGATTAAGTCGAGTTACCACTTCAAATTTCCACATTGAGCGGTTTAAAAGTAGCTGACTTGTACGTCCTCATAAACCTAGAATTTTTGTTGCGGCATACAAGTATACTTAATTCGTAGATATTTTTTCAAATGGCAGACGTTTTGATAGTTATCATTAGCCCTCTAGCTGACTTCTGACTTCACAGAGAGGAGAAGGAACATCAAAGTGACAAAAAGTCGAGATGGGGGACAGAATAATGAATCACAAATGTAAAGGAGACAGACAGACACAAATGTAGAGAAAAAGGTGAGGTGAGCACTGTGTAAGTGGTGGAATATGACATAGAGTGGGATCATGGTATCTTGAAATCAGAAGACAACTGCCAGGTAACAGACTCTATTGACGTAGGAGTATACATTGTCTAGGGAGCACCACGTGGTGGGGAGTCTATCGCACACCCCAAGTCATAGATTTATAGAAAGGACAATGCGAATTTGCTAACAGCGCATTCATTGAAGGTAGAGGCGTATAAAAGGTGAAAAAACCTAATTCTGCAAAAAATGGAGGCATCTGAAGACTGCACCAACTTTTTCCTCTGGTGTTCAGTTACCCGAAATCTGGAAATGGTACTCTTGACTTTATCTTTCTCACCGAAGTTGGTATCTGTAAAATTAGCTTGTTATAGTAACCAGGGCACGATCAGGACGCGACTTTTCCCCCGACTTTTCAAGGTCTTTTCCATGCCATTCCCAGTATGTTGCAACTTCTACCCAAAATTTGCCTGTTTGTAGAAATATGTCAGTTTGCAAGGTTCTACTAAAATTTATTTAAAGAATTGTCATGTAGAAACCTACATTAGATAGGTCTTTTGTGAACGAAAGTTGGCATTTTCATGCATTGTATCAATTAAGTGCCTTACATGACACGATAACTTCATTTGGAACTCGGTGGAAATGCATAAATTTATGCATTTTGTGTTGTTCTACATTTCCCTTACG